GTCAACACCCACATCAGCTCCAGCTCCAGAAGTAGCCGCAGGTCCAGCAGCTCCAGTACTCCCAGTACGAGCACCTCCGGGACCCTAGGCACCAGCTCCCTCAGCAGCAACAGAACATCCAGTTCCCGCAGCTCCTCCAGCTCCAGCAGCTCGCCTCCAGCGCTGGGCAAACCACTCACGCAGCTCCTGTGGAGAGAGTGGCTCCCGGCAAGAAGAAGCACCCGGAGAACCGCCAGGCACAGCACCAGCAGGCCCAGCCCCCTCAGGCTCCGCACTTCCCGGCGTAGCACCCCAAGGCTCAGCACCCCCAGACTCAGCACCCCTAGGCTCAGCACCACTAGTCGTAGTACCCTCAAGCTCAGCACCCCCACGCGTAGCACCCACACGCTCAGCACCCCCAGAGTCAGCACCCTCTGGCTCAGCACCCTCAGCAGCACCAGAGTCACCAGCGACCTCGACAGGCTCAACAGCGTATACCTGGGACACACCTGAAGGGGCAGGACCCTGAGGGGGAAGGGGGTCTACCGGGGGGGGACCTGGCAAAAGGAAGAGCGGTGGCAGGGGGAGGGACGGAGTGCGGTAGGGGAAGAGACGGTAGTAGGGGACCGACTTGTCGAACGTGACGTCCTGGGAGAAAAGAACACGGCCAGAGGTGGGGTGGTAGAACTGCCACCCTGGCGCGTCAAGGGGGAAACCCAGGAAGACGCAAGGAGCAGCACGAGGGGACAGCTTGTCTGCAGACAAGTCGCGGACAAACGCCTGAGATCCCGAGACACGAAACGCAGACGCATCGCCAACCTTCCCCGTCCACAGCAAAGCTGGGGAGGTCTCCGGCATGAAGACCCTGGGCTGAAGGTTGATCTGATGCGCCTCGTACCGAACCGCAAACGGCCACAGAAAATGGGGGGCAGCCGCATGCATCATGGATGTACGGGCGACGTCCATGACCATGCCAATGCGGCGCTCAGCAATCCCATTTTGCTGTGGAGAGTCCGGAAGCGTGAAGGTCTGGCGGATGCCTCGTGCACGACAGTAGGCTCGCAGAAGGCTAGAGGAGAACTCTCCGCCTCTGTCAGAGTGCAGACGCAGAACAGGTAAGTCTGAGCCGAAGCTCTGCCTGAGCTGGAGACGAGCTGCGCGGATCCAGTCAATCAACACCTCAGTGACATCACCCTTGCTGCACAAGGGGAAGACTGTGGTGTAACGCGAGTAGTCGTCAACGACCAGCAGGATGTAGCGCTCGTGACCCTGTCCACGGATGCGGGCCGGGCCCCACACGTCCATGTGAAGCGTCTGCAGCGGGGCCTCTGTCGGAGGAAACTAAGAGGAGTGAGGGGCAGCCCGCTGCCGCCCCTCGACACAGGGGGCGCAGGTAAGGCCAGGCCCCGGAGGAAGGGGAGGGAGGGACCGTGGAAGTCCAGAGACAAGGACACGGGAGGCCATGCTTTGGAGATGAAGCAGGGAGGGGTGACCAAGGCGGTGGTGCCAGAGGAGAGTCTCGTGAGACAGGAGGCGACACGAATAGGGGGCAGACTCAGGACCAGACCTGGACGCTGTAGCAAACACCTCACCCGACGCAGCTACCTGACCAGACGCAGTGAGTGGAGGAGACGCAATGGTCAGTGTGTACAGGCTCGGCCCCGGCCGACGTGTAAACATGGCAAGGTGTCGGCCTGTCCGAGCGTCCGTGCAGTGGGTCACCCGCTGACTCGCAGGAGTGAACTGGTGAACTCCCCCATCCTGAAGGTCAGCGCCACTCACCAAGTTCGTAGAGAACGAGGGGAGGTAAAGACCTGACAGGGTGCCAGAGGGGGCCGCCGGACACGGGAGGACAGTGGAGAAGTGAGCAAGGACAGGACCCCCAGAGGGGTGTGCAAGAGAGACTGCAACTGGCCGACCAAGCGGCGTAAGTGTGGTGCGGTCTCGAAAGAAGGAGCGAGAAGCCCCCGAGTCAAGTGTGAAGGTGTGGGAGGCCGAAGCCGACGCAGTACCTGAGAGCGCAGACTCACCAGTACCGGAGGAAGCAGACGCACTAGCACCTAGAGTAGCAGCCTCGCTAGCACCAAGAGCAGCAGCCTCACGAGTACCTAGAGCAGTAGTCACAATGCCCGGGTCGGGCGGGAAACACCGGTAACAGTCACCCTCCTCTCTAATAGACACAGTATACATAGCAGCAAGAATAGCATAAAATTCAAGGTCAAAGATAGCAACCCCTGCTCTAGACAGCTCGCCCCAGCGAGGGATCTCGGTGGCCTCGGGGAACTGGTGACGCCAAGCATCCGTGAGGCGGCCAAAGCAGCGATGGGTGGGGTGCGCACCCCCACACTGCTCACCCGCACGGTCGCGGGTGCGCAGGACGTAGGTGCACGGACCAGTACCCCCACCCCGCTGGCGTGCAGAGTACCACTCACGGAGCTGGTGAGGGGATAGGGTCTCCCGACTGCGCTGCTGCTGCTAGCGCTGACCACCACCGGAGCCACTCCTCTGCGAAGAGCCACGACCTCCTCCTCCTCCTCCTCCTGCTGCGCCACCTCCTCCTCCATCTCAGCGACTTGGCTACTGGTCGGCTCGGCTCCCGGGCGGCTCGGCGACAGGGCGGCTCGGGTGCAGGGCGGCTCGGCTCCCGGGCGGCTCGGCGGCAGGGCGGCTCGGGTGCCGGGCGGCTCGGGTGCGGGGCGGCTCGGCCGCACTGCTGCTCGGCTGCTGCAGGTGGGGTGGCGGGGCCGCGAGACCAGGGGCGGCGGGGCCGGCGAAGCAGGGCCGGCAGGTGCAGTGGGGGGGACGGCGGGTGCAGCAGCGGGGCCGTCAGGTGCAGCGGCGGCGCCGGCAGAGGGGACGGCGGGGCCGTCAGGTGCAGTGGCGGGGCCGGCAGAGGGGACGGCGAGGCCGTCAGGTGCAGCGGCGGGGCCGGCAGAGGGGACGGCAGGGCCGTCAGAGGGGACGGCGGGGCCGTCAGGTGCAGCGGCGGGGCCGACAGAGGGGACGGCGGGTCCGTCAGGTGCAGCGGCGGGGCCGGCAGAGGGGACGGGTGGGCCGCGTCTGAGCGGGCGGCGGGGCCGCGGCTGAGCAGGCGGCGGGGCCGCGTCGTAGCGGGCGGCGGGGCCGTGGCTGAGCAGGCGGCGGGGCCGCGTCCGAGCGGGCGGCGGGGCCGCGGCTGAGCAGGCGGCGGGGCCGCGTCGTAGCGGGCGGCGGGGCCGCGGCTGAGCAGGCGGCGGGGCCGCGTCGTAGCGGGCGGCGGGGCCGCGGCTGAGCAGGCGGCGGGGCCGCGTCTGAGCGGGCGGCGGGGTCGCGGCTGAGCAGGCGGCGGGGCCGCGTCTGAGCAGGCGGCGGGGCCGCGTCTGAGCAGGCGGCGGGGCCGCGTCTGAGCAGGCGGTGGGGCCGCGTCGTAGTGGGCGGCGGGGCCGCGGCTGAGCAGGTGGCGGGGCCGCGTCTGAGCAGGCGGCGGGGCCGCGATCGGAAGGGGCGGCAGGGCCGCGAGGGAAGGGCGACACGGAGGGTCGCTCGAGCGAGAGGAAAAAAAAAAGTTAGCGCGCCTCGGGGCGCGCTTCGGTGGGCCCTAGGCGAAGTTCCCACAGGGAACCCGCTCTATACCATGTGAGAATTGTAGAACAGGAATGAAATGACTAAGTGAAAGTTGGGTACAAATACAAACCCTAGAGAGCTGTACCCCATATGTGCTACCCCACTATAGCCTACAACAGCTATGTCATATATATCTGACAGGCCGGGGCAGAGTCGGGGCCGGGGCAGGTCCGGGACGGGGCCGCAACGGGCCCCCAGGTCGTCGTGACAGGCGACGAAACCAGCCGCGCGTCTTGGGGCGCACGACAGGTTGTGCCCCGTCGCGCGCCACGGGGTGCACGACGGGCTTTGCCCCATCGCGCGCCATGGGGCGCATGACGGGCTTTGCACCGTCGCGCGCGACGTGCAGGGCTCTGTTGCGCGCCAGCGGGGCGCACGACGGGCAGGCAGGCAGAAAAAAGCCGCCGCGCGCGGCAGGAAGAAAAATTGCCGCGCGCCCGTGGCGCGCGGCAAGCAAGCAGTGCGCGCCTCAGGCGCGCGATGGACAGAGTAGCAGCAGCGGAAGCAATGGGTGGGCCCATCCACAGAATCGACCCGTGAGGGTCGACCTACTCTGATACCATGTTAGAAATCAAAGGAAGTAGGAATGAGAAAAGAGGAGGTTTTCACTAGCAAGCAGTTGAGTACATAAAGGAAACCCTAGATTGGGCTGTACTCACTATTAAGTACCCCACTGCAGGCTAGACAAATACAACATATTCTGACATTCCTGTAAAACCCTGTTCTATTATAAGCGCATGCATAATTTTTTAATTTAAAACCTGCTAAACACAGTAACGAGTTTCAACATTGAAGCGAGCCTAATTTCTTAATCGCTTCGTTTGACTCGCGAAGACCTCAGAAGCTGCGCGTCATGTCAAGATGTGCTAGCATAGGGGCAAACTGACGTGTCTTTGCTCCTGTGTGTTGAAAAAAACTCGGTAGCGCGCAATTCTGATTTTTTGCGCTAAAAATTTTCACCTCGATTGGAATGGTACGACTGAGATGTACATTTTGATGCTATAAATTTATAAATATGTATCTATCATTATATAAGCGCATGCGCTTATAAAAACGACTCAATTAGAAGCGCACTCCCCTAAAAAACTTTTCTTTATTATAAACGCAGGTGCGCTTCTATCCGGGGTAATACGGTATTGCAGGAATGAGGAATGACTAGCAAAAGGGAGATACAAGTATGAAACCCTAACTGGGGTTATACTCTATACTGAGCACCTCACTGTAGCCAAGCATAACTAAGAACATACCGTACAAATATGTTCTGACAGAGGTCCACCATATTAGCGCCAGTGATAACCAAGATTCTTGAGAGATTCAGCACTGGCGATAACACGCTACAAAAATGGAGAGCACAAAGGAGAGCAGTCCAAAGTAATCATAGTTTCAAAGCACTGCTCGATGTGTGTAGCTTTTCCTCTTTATTTTGTCACACTTGCCCCCCCTCTCTTTTTCTTAGCCTGTATCACAGCCACCTTCTCTGCCTGCTTCTTCTTCTTTGTTTCGATCGCAGCTGCCTTCTCCCCCTGTTTCCGCTTCTTCTCAGCAACAGCAGCAGACTTCGCTTCTTGCAGCCTCTTCTTTTCCGCAATCGCAGCCGCTTTCTCTTTCTGCTTTCGCTTCTTCTCCGCAATCGCGACCACTTTTTCCTCCTGGTTTTTCTTATTTTCTGCGATCGCGGCAGCTTTTTCCTCCTGCTTCTGTTTCTTCTCAGCAATCGCCTCTGCTTTCTCTGCCTGCTTCCTCTTCTTCGCCTCCAAGGCAGCCCTCTTAGCCGCATCAGCCGCTGCTCTCCGTGCTGCCTCCTCCTTCCTCTGCCTCTCAAAATCCTTTGGACTCAACACAACAGGGCCTCTGGTCCCCAACCCGCCTCCCGTCACCGACCCGCCTTCGCTCACCGACCCGCCTCCGCTCACCGACCCGCCTCCGCCTCCGGACCCACCACCAGGAGTAGTGCCATTAGTTGACGTGTCAGGGGATCCGCCACCGTTGGTGCTGAGGGCAGTGCTGTTTGTTGACGTGCCACTGCCGGATCAGCCGCCTTGGTACCCGGGGCATTGCGGTCCCTCGTCGCTGCCGTCCACACAGTTGGCCACACCGTTGCACTCGCCGCCTGGGGGCATGCAACCGATCTTAGATGGGCAGTAGGCCTGGTGGGGATGAGAATGAGCAGGGATGAAGGAAACACAGTGAGGGAAAGAGAACACATATGAGCCAACTTGATATCCCTAGCATTGACGGCCCCTTGTCGATGCCGTCTGCGCAGTCTACCACGCCGTTGCACTTGCCGCCTGGGGGCATGCAGCCGATCTTAGACGGGCAGTAGGCCTGGTGGGGATGAGAACGGGCAGGGGTGAAGAAATTAGACAGGGGGGAAGGAAACACAGTAGGGGAAGGTGACGGGCAGGGATAAAAGAAACAGAAATTGAGAGAGTGAACGGGCAGGAAGAAGGAAATCTAGAGTGGGGAAGAGAGAACGGGTGGGGAAAAAGAAGCATATAAGGGGGGAAGGGAATGGGCCGGTAAGGAGGAAGCACGAGAGGGAGGGGGGAGGGGGGTGGTTGGAATGGGCAGGGAAGAAAGAAATACTGGGGGAGAGAAACCGGGAAGGAATGAAGCATCTGGGGGTTTCGAGAACAGGCAGTGAAGTACCAATCACAGCGTGGCGGGGGGGGGGGGGAGAATGGGCAGCGAAGAAGGAAGCACACAAAAGGGGGGAGAAAGGGCAAGGAGGAAAGGAAACATAGAGATGGAGAGAGAGCAGGCAGTGAAGGAATCGCAGAGGGGGGGGAGAATCAGCAGGGACGAAGGAAGCGCAGGACGGGGTAGAGAACGGGCAGGAGAGTGAAAGAAGTCACAGAGGGAGAAAGAGAACCGCCAGGCGGGAGAGTGAGCGGCCACGGAAGGAGGAAAAGGGGAGGGGTGGGGGGGGAGTAAGGGGGGGGGGGAGGAAGTGAACGGCTGGGCGAACAAGGTCCCATGGAAGCACCTTGGGGGAAAAATACCATCGACTCGACTTGCATACTGCAAATGTCACTGCTAGCAGCAACATGATCACCACCAGCACGCACCCTCGCATTAAAAAAACCATATGCCAAGTTTGGACGAATTTTGATTTCGATTGTCTTCGCCTAAAAAAATCCGGAGCCAATTTGGACCGACGGTTGGAGTCATTTGATAGGAGCTCCGAGACACATCTCGCGACAAGGTTTGGCTCGGCTCAAGCTCCAATTTGGCGCGCGAGCTTTTCCGGATGACATTCGGGCGCAATCCGTTTTGTTGCAAATTCGTGACCAAATTATTCAAAACTAAATTATGTTTTTGTTCATTTTGGATATTGAGGATTTCAAAATTGCATTTATTATTGTAGTTTACAAGAACCATTATTCAGCATTCTAGCAACATGCAGTCTTAGCACCAGGTCAAATAGCCTACACACTGGCGGGCCTTGAAAGCGCCCTGTGGGCAAGGACGACATCTCCAAGGTCGCCGTCATCGATGAGGAACTTGTTCGGAAAGACGAACGCACCCATAGCCGGATCGTGGGGGATCCTCCGCTCCACGACAGCAAAATGGATCATCTGTTTGACCTTTTCGCACCACTCCTGGTAGTCTGGCCTGTTCTGCTCCGGCTGGCTACTGATTCGCTTGCGACGCTTATCCTGCAGAAGGGGCATTCGATCTGCAATGTGGTGTAGGGTTGGGTGGATGGTTTATGAGGAGGATAGGTTATGGGTAAATGAGGCAACTTAAAGAGGTGATGCAGTCGTCACTATCTACGTAACTGCAAAGGCCTAATCGACCAGGGTTTTATCTGAAGTACAGGCAAGGGGTTAATGGGATGAGGCATGGGGGTACAAACACATATCTACATCCTTACCGAAAACAGGCCCCATGCCACCATGCGGCTCTTGAACTTGGTGAACACCGCCCTGCCCCTCTTGAAGGAGAGCTTGAACGCATAAGCGAACAAGGGGTTGCTGAAGGGTGTCCCGGTGGCCTTGTCAAAGTGCCAGTTGAGGGCCCACTGTTCTGCTTATTGGCAGGGAGGGAATGGGTTGGAAAGGGTTTTGTAGAGAAATCAAATGGGGGGATGAGAGTCAGGGTGAGCCACATCGCACGGTGATATGTAGCTGCCAAGGGGCATATGGTAGGGCATATTGTGTTTTCGAGTTGCACAGCACATACCATCTCTGTACTCGGCTAGGAGTGGATCGTCGTCAAACCAGGTCGTTGGGTGTAGCTCAGTGGGCAGGCTATCCACGAGATGGCTGTAATCGGCAAGGCCCATGCCGGTGTATGCTGCTGGCCTGAGGGTGGAGTTGATAGTTGACCTTGTTGAGGACAGCTGGTGGTTGAAGACTCCCATGGTTGACTTGTCATTGTGCAACCACAGCAGCTTCATTGCCTCGAGCCCTTCTGCAGACAAGTGGACAGAGAACGCTTCGAACACTTCCTCCGGTGCAGGGTAGTACTGTATTTTCTCTAGCGGGTTCAGAAACATGAGCTGAGAGCACACTAAGTAGGCTTTGTTCTTCACAGGGGTGTAAGGTATACAACACGACATGGAAGAGAGAAACCAGCAGTTATGAGGGTGGCCGCGTGACCATCGGATGGTGACTAGCAACACTGTTTGAACTTGCCAAGTCACACCCTGTGCCATCCGACACGTCCACCAACAACCCGGCCCACTTACCACATCACACCCCCCTACCACAAGCCACGTCACCCCCCACCCACCTGACACGCCTCGCTTCGTCATGCGCAGTGGTCACGTGTACCATTTCTAACCGCCACGTCATCCCCAACCCTCACCTTCCGCCACGTCACACCCACCTGCATCCGCCACGTCATCCCCAACCCTCACCTTTCCGCCATGTCACACCCTCCTTGTCCGCCACGTCCACCAACCAGCCCCACGTGCCACGTCACACCCTCCTGCATCCGCCACGTCCACCAACAACCAGCCCCACGTGCCACGTCACACCCTCCCACCCCATGCCACGTCACCCCCCACCCACCTGACACGCGTCGCCTCGTCACGCGCCGCTCCCGTGTACCATTCCAAACCGCCACGTCAGCCCCAACCCTCACATTCTGCCACTGTCACACCCTTTGCATCGCCAACAACCCGCCCTACTTGCCACGTCACACCCCCCACCAAGAGCCACGTCACCCCCAACCCACCTGAGACGCCTCGCTTCGTCATGCGCCGCTCACGTGTACCCTTTTAGGGTGCCACGTCATCCCCAACCCTCACCTTCCGCCACGTCACACCCACCTGCATCTATCACGTCATCCCCAACCCCCAACTTCCGCCACGTCACACCCTCCTGCATCCGCCACGTCCACCAACCAGCCCCACGTGCCACGTCACACCCTCCTTGTCCGCCACGTCCACCAACCAGCCCCACGTGCCACGTCACACCCTCCTGCATCTGCCACGTCCACCAACAACCAGCCCCACGTGCCACGTCACACCCTCCCACCCCATGCCACGTCACCCCCCACCCACCTGACACGCTGTCGCCTCGTCACGCGCCGCTCCCGTGTACCATTCCAAACCGCCACGTCAGCCCCAACCCTCACATTCTGCCACGTCACACCCTTTTGCATCGCCAACAACCCGCCCGTCACACCCCCCACCAAGAGCCACGTCACCCCCCACCCACTTGAGATGCCTCGCTTCGTCATGCGCCGCTCACGTGTACCCTTTTAGGGTGCCACGTCATCCCCAACCCTCACCTTCCGCCACGTCACACCCTCCTTGTCCGCCACGTCCACCAACCAGCCCCACGTGCCACGTCACACCCTCCTGCATCCGCCACGTCCACCAACAACCAGGCCCACGTGCCACGTCACACCCTCCTGCATCCTCCACGTCCACCAACAACCAGCCCCACGTTCCACGTCACACCCTCCCACCCCATGCCACATCACCCCCCACCCACATGACACGCGTCGCCTCGTCACGCGCCGCTCCCGTGTACCATTCCAAACCGCCACGTCAGCCCCAACCCTCACATTCTGCCACGTCACACCCTTTTGCATCGCCAACAACCCGCCCTACTTGCCACGTCACACCCCCCACCAAGAGCCACGTCACCCCCCACCCACCTGAGACGCCTCGCTTCGTCATGCGCCGCTCACGTGTACCCTTTTAGGGTGCCACGTCATCCCCAACCCTCACCTTCCGCCACGTCACACCCACCTGCATCTATCACGTCATCCCCAACCCTCAACTTCCGCCACGTCACACCCTCCTGCATCCGCCACGTCCACCAACCAGCCCCACGTGCCACGTCACACCCTCCTTGTCCGCCACGTCCACCAACCAGCCCCACGTGCCACGTCACACCCTCCTGCATCCGCCACGTCCACCAACAACCAGCCCCACGTGCCACGTCACACCCTCCCACCCCATGTCACGTCACCCCCCACCCACCTGACACGCGTCGCCTCGTCACGCGCCGCTCCCGTGTACCATTCCAAACCGCCACGTCAGCCCCAACCCTCACATTCTGCCACGTCACACCCTTTTGCATCGCCAACAACCCGCCCTACTTGCCACGTCACACCCCCCACCAAGAGCCACGTCACCCCCCACCCACCTGAGACGCCTCGCTTCGTCATGCGCCGCTCACGTGTACCCTTTTAGGGTGCCATGTCATCCCCAACCCTCACCTTCCGCCACGTCACACCCACCTGCATCCGCCACGTCATCCCCAACCCTCAACTTCCGCCACGTCACACCCTCCTTGTCCGCCACGTCCACCAACCAGCCCCACGTGCCACGTCACACCCTCCTTGTCCGCCACGTCCACCAACCAGCCCCACGTGCCACGTCACACCCTCCTGCATCCGCCACGTCCACCAACAACCAGGCCCACGTGCCACGTCACACCCTCCTACATCCGCCACGTCCACCAACAACCAGCCCCACGTGCCACGTCACACCCTCCCACCCCATGCCACGTCACCCCCCACCCACCTGACACGGTCGCCTCGTCACGCGCCGCTCCCGTGTACCATTCCAAACCGCCACGTCAGCCCCAGCCCTCACATTCTGCCACGTCACACCCTTTTGCATCGCCAACAACCCGCACGTCACACCCCCCACCAAGAGCCACGTCACCCCCCACCCACCTGAGACGCCTCGCTTCGTCATGCGCCGCTCACGTGTACCCTTTTAGGGTGCCACGTCATCCCCAACCCTCACCTTCCGCCACGTCACACCCACCTGCATCCGCCACGTCATCCCCAACCCTCACCTTCTGCCACGTCACACCCTCCTTGTCCGCCACGTCCACCAACCAGCCCCACGTGCCACGTCACACCCTCCTGCATCCGCCACGTCCACCAACAACCAGGCCCACGTGCCACGTCACACCCTCCTGCATCCTCCACGTCCACCAACAACCAGCCCCACGTGCCACGTCACACCCTCCCACCCCATGCCACGTCACCCCCCACCCACCTGACACGCGTCGCCTCGTCACGCGCCGCTCCCGTGTACCATTCCAAACCGCCACGTCAGCCCCAACCCTCACATTCTGCCACGTCACACCCTTTTGCATCGTCAACAACCCGCCCTACTTGCCACGTCACACCCCCCACCAAGAGCCACGTCACCCCCCACCCACCTGAGACGCCTCGCTTCGTCATGCGCCGCTCACGTGTACCCTTTTAGGGTGCCACGTCATCCCCAACCCTCACCTTCCGCCACGTCACACCCACCTGCATCTATCACGTCATCCCCAACCCTCAACTTCCGCCACGTCACACCCTCCTGCATCCGCCACGTCCACCAACCAGCCCCACGTGCCACGTCACACCCTCCTTGTCCGCCACGTCCACCAACCAGCCCCACGTGCCACGTCACACCCTCCTGCATCCGCCACGTCCACCAACAACCAGCCCCACGTGCCACGTCACACCCTCCCACCCCATGCCACGTCACCCCCCACCCACATGACACGCGTCGCCTCGTCACGCGCCGCTCCCGTGTACCATTCCAAACCGCCACGTCAGCCCCAACCCTCACATTCTGCCACGTCACACCCTTTTGCATCGCCAACAACCCGCCCTACTTGCCACGTCACACCCCCCACCAAGAGCCACGTCACCCCCCACCCACCTGAGACGCCTGGCTTCGTCATGCGCCGCTCACGTGTACCCTTTTTGGGTGCCATGTCATCCCCAACCCTCACCTTCCGCCACGTCACACCCACCTGCATCCGCCACGTCATCCCCAACCCTCAACTTCCGCCACGTCACACCCTCCTTGTCCGCCACGTCCACCAACCAGCCCCACGTGCCACGTCACACCCTCCTTGTCCACCACGTCCACCAACCAGCCCCACGTGCCACGTCACACCCTCCTGCATCTGCCACGTCCACCAACAACCAGCCCCACGTGCCACGTCACACCCTCCCACCCCATGCCACATCACCCCCCACCCACCTGACACGCGTCGCCTCGTCACGCGCCGCTCCCGTGTTCCCTTCGAAACTGCCACGTCAGCCCCAACCCCACCCTTGTTGCCACGTCAACCCCAACCCTCCCCATGTGGCCCGCCACATACCGGGAATGGGTTTGTCTCCTGCAACACTAGCACTCGTGCCTTGTCCACGGCGCTCATCGGCGGCGGGGTACCAGCCATAGGCAGGGCTGCCGACCTGCCGGCATAGCTGGCAGGTACTCCACGACGCAGGCCGAGCTGTGCAAACATGGCGTACATCTCAGACCTGCAGCGCCTGGAACTCCTCCCGTCTAACAAACTGCTCGTGCTCCGCACTTTCACCTAGGGCACCCATGAGCGGAGGAAAAGGGTGTGAAGAATCCCCCCTCTGGCCAAGGGGATCAACGTCTTCTGCAGCAGTCCCGTGTGCCCTCACACTATCACGTTGGCGGGAAAAGGGGAGCCCAGGGAAGGGATTGGCATAACTGCCTGCCTGATGCCCGCGCAAAGGATCGGCGAGAGGTGAGACCGCCCTGCCCCGGACAGGAGAAGCGTGGAGTCGCCGAAATTGGTACGAGGGTGAGGCGAGTGGGGACTGCGTGACGGGGGCGGGTGGAGGGGATTCGGATTCCTCTCCTCTTGGCGCGCCTGGTGCCGTCGCAGCGACTTTGCTCGGGCCGGCCCATGGCGTGTAGTACCTTGGTGCTCCGGAGGAGAGCGGTGTAACACTCGCTCTTCCGGCAGCCTTCGTTAGATGCATTCGTTGCACGCTTACGGGCGGCCCAATGCCTGTAACGCAAGGGGCTGAGATGTAGAGGGAGCCGGAAAAAAAAAAATAGAGTCAATCGGTTTCAAGGCGGGGCCAGACATGCATGCATATTCAGAAAGGTTTGAATGTAGGTCGGGTTCAGGGTTGTACTGGTTTGAGACAAGAGGGTTTACCTTGCTTGGCAGATTCGTTGACCTTCTCGTTCCCTGCATGGGAGAAACAATGTGAAAAAAGGGTGTTTTTTGGCACGGTTTAGCAGATGGTTCAACACGTCACGCCTGTTTTATTGGACACAATGCTCACCTTTCTGCTGACCCTCCGGTTTTGGGGCAGCCTGCGCCTTCTCGTTGCCACCTTTCCGCGGGGTGCTTTGGCGACGTTTCCGGCAGGTTCTTTCTTGCTGGTACCCACTGGAACCCCTTTGGCGCGGCCACCCTTTCCTCCTCCATCCCCTTTTGCTCCCTGGCTCCCTTGCTTTTTACCAACCCCTTCACTTTCGACCTTCACCTTATGCGCCTTCGGTTTGCCCGATGCTTCGCCGTGCGCAGCGTCAACTGCCCCGCGTTTTCGGGAAGGGCGAGTCCGGCCCCCCTCCTTCCATGTACCACTCACTCGTCTGCCACGCCCGCCCCGTCCCTTCACTGGCGCCACATCCTCCTCCTCCTCCTCCTCCTCCTCCTCCTCCTCCTCCTCCTCCTCCTCCTCTTCCTCCTCCTCCTCCTCCTCCTCCTCCTCCTCCTCCTCCTCCGCTTCCTCCTCCTCCTCCTCCTCCTCCTCCTCCTCCTCCTCCTCCTCCTCCTCCTCCTCCTCCTCCTCCTCCACATCCTCCTCCTCGTCGTCACCCTGCTCCTCCTCCTCCTCCTCCTCCTCCTCCTCCTCCTCCTCCTCCTCCTCCTCCTCTGCCTCCTCCTCCTCCTCCTCCTCCTCCTCCTCCTCCTCCTCCTCCTCCTCCTCCTCCTCCTCCTCCTCCTCCTCCTCCTCATCATCCTCCTCCGCTTCCTCTTCATCCTCCTCTCCCTCCGCATCCTCCTCCTCATCCTCCTCCTCCTCCGCATCACCGGGGTCTTCATCGCCCCGTTTCGGCTTTGTTCCCGTCGCTGCTTTCTTGCCTCTCCTTCCGCCGGATGCTTTTCTTACTGCGGGTCGGCCCTTCTGGCGCAATGCTTGACCGCCCGCCTTGCCACTAGCTTCCTTGGCGCCTCGCGGTGTCCCAACTGCCGCGCCTCCGGCGTCGTCAGCACTACCTATCGTCTGCCGCCTCTTCGCCCGCATAATGAGGTCCCCGGGCATGACGGTGTCATAATCGTCCTCCCCATCGCTCTTCCTCTGCCTACGCCTCCCCCGTCCACCAGAAGGTGGAGAGCCACCGACCAGCCCCACCGACTCGTGCTCCCCCACCTTGTCCTTATCCAGCACGGCTGCAGAAACTTCGACCACGGTCGGCTAGAGCAGGGTCAGATGGTGTTGCTTTGCCGCCGCCTCGGACTCCTTGGTTGCGACATGCTCGGCGCGGGGATCGCCTCCGTGATTTCCCTCCATCGCCGATCTCTCCATCTCTGCCGATGGGAGTGCAAGACTCGTGCTCCCTCGCCCCGGATCTTTGTTGCCGCCAGTGGTGCCGTCTTTACTCGGACCGGGCTCGGTTCCAGCAGAGGCAACATCCGCATCTTTGTTCACTGTAGAAACACGCTTGCGTGGCGTTGGTTTAGGCCCCTTGTCTTCCGCTTTCTTGCCGGCCTCCTGTTGACCGCGCGCGACCTTTTTTGCCGCCGCTTTTTTCTGCCCAATGCCACGAGCGACGGACGCATTAGTTTTTTTAGCGCCGCCACCACACTCCCTATCGATCTGTTTAGACGTCCTCCTTGTCGCGCGGCGGCCGGCCTGTTCCTCCTCCATTGCTTGGTTACGTGTTGCACGTGTCATGGTAATTGTAGGAGGAGCAAAGTTGCAAATCGCGCGGAAGGGTTGAGCCGGTTTCGAAAGGGTTCTGCAACTGAATCCCACGATGGGATTATCGACGGTCTATCACTCTTATGTGTTTCCGAAAACCGCCGCTTCAACTAAATCTGTCATAGTAGCCACTATGCTTCGCGCTAAGGCCGATCTGGAAAGGCGTGTGTCAAGGCAACGAGCAGCGTCAAAGTGTTGGTCCAGGGAGTGACGGAAGCAGGTGGGTGGGACACGAGGGTGGTTGGTGTGGGTTGCGAGACTAGAGAGACTAAAGTAGATCACGGTTGCCAACGCATAAATCACTAAATTTTATGTGAAGAAACAAAGAATGAATAAGAAAGAGAAGAAGAAGGGAAGGGGTTGCACTAGCAGCAGTTGGGATACAAATAGCAAACCCTAGAAGGGTTGTACTCGCTATAGAGCACCCCACTACAGGCTAGAACATAATATTCTGACATTTTATTCAAACATACAACAATGCATTTCATCAAACTCTAAGTTGCAAATGGTTTACCACGGGGTTGAGGTAAGTTAATCGGTGATTCTTACGTCACACACACAACGACCGTAAAATATTATTACTTGTGACAGATGTACTGTGCACTTTACGGCTTTGCCACAATGGTTTAGGGCTAGCGGAAGACATTCATTCTCGATTATCAATAGTAACAAACGTTAATCCGTTGTAGTATGGTGTTGGATTGTCATCCATTCTTGCACAGACATTAAACATGGTGCTTAGAAGGAGTGGTATGAAGCACAGGCCCAACGCACAAGCGTAGATGCGTTATCGACAGCCATGGTTAGAATGTGCGACGATGCAGCGTTCAGGCCTGTGGGTTGCGCGACATGGGAAATCCGTTGTGGTTTGGTATTGCATTGGCATCCATTCTTGCACAGACATTAAACAAGGTGCTTAGAAGGAGTTGTATGAAGCACAGGCCCAACGCACAAGCGTAGATGCGTTATCGACAGCCATGGTTAGACTGTGCGACAATGCAGCGTTCAGGCCTGCGGGTTGCGCGACATGGTGAATCCGTTGTGGTATGGTGTTGCATTTTCATCCAACATTGCATGGACATTGAAACCGTTGTGTTATTGTACGACATTGTCATCCATTCTTGCATATTCTTTCAGCACAGTGCGTAGAGGTACACTATACCTCGAGAGAAGACACGCTACAGGTATTCGCTCCACGCAACAATCATACGTTAGGGCATGGAGTTATTGGGTACTTCCCGTATCGTTTTCAAGTAAGGGTTGTTCAACATCAGTCCTAAGGATATGAATGTTTACTAGTTATGAATGACTTGAGTGTCTTGTTAAGTTGTAATTGTACATTTGCATTTCCATGTTTGTTTGAAGCCTCTTGAGCTCACCTACGTGATTCTGATTTCCCCCCTATATTGATTCGCGACACAATCACAGATCCAAACGGATCTCTTCCCGCTCTTCCTCATCCCCCTCGACTCTCACGCACGGTTCCTAAACACAAGTTCTTGATTCAATAGGCACGTCCTTCTCACCATGCTCGCGACGCACACACACGACCGTGAGACTTAAGATCCTCCGCATTCTCCTCTGCTCACATCGTGGTCACTCTAAACGGGGGCGACACGCCTTGTACTGAAGACGGCCCGTTAGGTGGGCGGTCTGTATCGTGCCTGGTAATGACCACGCGGCTCGACATCGTTAGCCAGTCATAAGCATTAGCGCCAATGTCAAGTGCCAGTCGTGCAGTGATACAAGCCGCCCACCAAAGTGCACGCATTGGCGCGTTCACAAGCTTCATCACGGCTAGTAGCTTCATAGGCGATTTCTCGACTCTACAACGGATCCGTAACACATGGGCTCTTTACTAGGCGTCGTCTGCGAGTTCTGCAACAGATGGTTCCCCAATGCCCAAGTTTATGGCGGTCATAAGTCACGGCGGACCCCTTGCCAAGGACTATCCGCCGTGGCAAGGCCGACGCGATCTGCACCGACCGCCGGTCTTCACGCTCTGCTATTCGTCCACGACATTCTGTCGGACGCTCCAGCCGCTCCCGGTTCACCTACAGCGTCTAACGCATCCAACTCCGTCAGTGTGAGCGGTCCTCCACGCATGCCTGAAGCTCACGTTGACAAAACTCCCAACGACGTGAACGAGGGGCCTCCTGAAGATGAACATCAACCACAACCAGGAGCTCCTGCGGCTAACACGAGTCATGCTGCGCCGCCAACAATCATCTCCAGACAGAGCAATGCCATGCCCCTCAATCCGCTCGCGTTGAAGCTGCTGCATTTCGTTCGGCGCGTGAATGGCGGAATGGGAATGGCCGAGGTTGACATCAACGGCCTGCTCCAGCTAGTCGTAGAGCCCGGCCTTGCGCCTCTTGTGATCTCGGATCTCCGGAACTGTAAGGATCTGGAGCGGTTCGAGATGGAGCGTTTGGCAGGGCTCAATCGCGGATGGTCGGTGGCGACCTTCGAGATTGACGGTCATCCACCACAGCGCTTGCTCTTTCAGAACTCAGCCCAGGTAAGCCGACTTTGCATTCAAGGCCGTGAAATGATGATGAGGCACACAGGGTTTGCATGTACGTAGTTATCCTTGTATTAACCATACACCCACCTTCACCGCCACTAACCATGCCTCTCCTCTCACTTGCCTTCGCCACCGTACACCAGGCATTCGCTGAAATGTTTGGACATCCCAACAATGCGCCCGGCTTCAAGCTCAAGGCGCGTGTTGATGAGGACCATGACGCAGGCAGCCGTCGCTATACCACGCCTCAAACAGGAACGTGGTGGAACGATGCTCAGGTACGGAAAGACCACGTTGCCACCCCAAACCCAATCCTTCCTCATGCCTCCATCGCTACACTGATCTGTCAAGAGCATCTTGAGTCCTAAACCGTGTGTCCGTTGCCGCTTTGTCGTGCACTGAAGGAACACTTCGGTTGGTCCGAAGTTGTTGGGGGGATCATCTTATATTCGGATGTGACGCACATGAGCATCAACGGCCGGAAGAAGGCGTGGCCGCTCATGATGACGCTGGCCAACATCTCCCAGGCCAAGCAATGGGGGAGAGCCGGGCACACACTACTTGCCCTTCTTCCTATCCCCCCGTCTGCAATGTCTGCCGTGGAGAAGGTGATGCTCTTCCAGTGCTGCGTCATCACCGTGCTGCAGCCGCTTCTTGATGGCATTGCCAGGTCCGTACTCGGTTTGCATCTTGCTAAGACATCATCTCACCACCTGCATGGTATGCAAACCCTCTATGTAGCATGGCCCTTTGCCCCTCGTCGTTCCTCCCTAAAAGCCGTAACCCGAATTCCTGTTGCCCCTCTACATGTTCCTTGCAGCGGGTTCCGTCTCAAGGACCCTTTCGGTGATTGGCAAACCGTGCGGCCCCTGCTGTACGCCTGGGTGTGCGACTACCCCGAGAGCGGCAAGATCAGTTGCACACTCTCGCGTGGATCGCGTATGCCGTGCAGCATCTGCTATGCTGCAAAGGTGAGGTCACATGCCATCTGCACGCATTCAAATACATTCTCGTTTGTGGGTCGCCTGATAGAACCCACATAGCTACCACCCTTACCTTTTCTATCCCATCCCTCACCCCCGTGCTACAACAGGAGCATCTGAGTGCTGTCAAGGCACGGAACACGCCGCGCACGCTTGAACAGCAGCAATGGATCGTTAACGAGGCGGCTGGGACGACAACTAGCCAGGCTGACCCGTGCAAGGCCTACTCTACCTACCCTGTTGAGGTGAGTGACCTGTTTCCCCGGCCCATGAGTAGTCTATGCTCTCGCCCGCCCCGTCATGAATTGCCAGATGTGCTCTGCCCCATTGAACTCACCCCACTTGTGGTTTAGGTTAGCTATCCACTCTCACGTACATCTCTCCTCCATTTCCCACCACATCCCCATTTCCAGTGTGTGCTCTGGAAGTGGGATGTCCCAGGGACCGCGTGGGGCAATCCCTACCTCATGGTGATGCCTGACATCATGCACCAGGCGGACCTGGGCATCATGAGCCACATTGTGGCTGTCGTGCGCAAGATGAAGAAGCGGCGTGTGAAGCAGATGGACAGGTCAGTGTTTTGGGGATTGGATTCGTTGCTCTTCGTCACATTTACTCAAACCATAAGTTCTGTCCTATTACTGACATGTTTCTGCCCTTTTGCCACCGCTGAACTGATGTGTATGGGCAAGCGCCTGTCTCTCATTCGCGACCGCACGCGCCTGAATCACATGCGCCTGCCAGAGAGCGCCTACTTCGAGACCGGAGCATGTGTAGCGGCCTATGAGCACAGGGCCGTCATGCAGGTATGAACCCTCCATTCCCTGTTG